TGGACTTTCAATTTCATACAAAAAATAAAAAATGTCCGTTTCAACGTCCAATTAAATGTCATCCTGCATGCATGTACGTATAGGACCGGGCATATCAGCAACGTGGCGTCTGGGTTCCTATCCAGAGGGACAGCGACCAACCCTTGAAAACAGCTAATATGCGATCTTACCTGTCCCTCACTCATCGCCTGAGAATCTCCATCCTCCACCCTGGATAGACATCTCCTTACATCCTCATCCTCAATCTGCACGTTCTTACCGTGCGCCCAGACTTCCGTGGATCTAACCACGTATGTTCTCAATTCCTCCACCGTGATCGCCCGTCCCTTCATCACGTTCCGAGAGTTTTTTATAAACGTCGGAACCTCCTCCACCTCCTCAAGCTGAGCCTTCACATGCCCCTGACTCTTCTGCAGTCCTTTCCCTACACACGTACACACAACATTTTCCACGGTTGCCCACTTTCTATGCTTGTGCATTGCATGCGCCACCGTCCTTCTCTTCGCCTACAGTACGCTCGTCTTGTCCGAGACATAGCTTCCAATATAGGGGTCATTCACCATCTTCCTGACTATCGTCGCAACCACATTCCTAACTTCCCCTCCTTTTAAGTTCGTGGAGAACGGTACCCTTACGATAGGCCTCTTCCGCAGATCATACCCGAACTTCGACTTCACCACTCTGGCCAGACCGATCTTCAATTTCTGCCTCGTTGTTTTCGCAGCAAACGTCGTCGCGGTCCGGCTGTACATCGCCCTAATCCTCCAAGGCTGCCTCAACACATCCTTCAAACAGTTCTTCCTATTCTCTACACTTGATGGGACGATCTTGATCTTTACCACCTCGAACATCCCTCCATTCTCGAACTCTTTTTTCCACTCCTTCAGCGTCCTTTGCTCCCCTCTACTCTTTAGGATACATCCCCCTATCTTACTTCTGATCACAACCCACTTTTCCGCACATATCTCTCCACCGCTAGATGTAAGTATATGCCTGCCTCCCGATTCACTGAGCCTCTTCATCAACTTGATCACCTGCGCCTCTTGGTTGAATGTGACCACACTTCCTTGCCTCCCACATGTTGATCTCTTTCCCCTTTCCCTCTTCCCCTTCCTCTTTTTGTTCTTTCTTAACTTTCCCCCTGCTTCCACTCTCCCCCACGTATTCAAGGATGGAGAGAGCCTAGAGATTGGTGATTTTTCCACCGCCAGAGGGTCAGCAATTCCGACTACAATCGGTAAGCACAGATACTTATCACATCCGAAGCTAGCCAGCCATGCATGGAATTTTGGAGCATTTCCAAACTTTCCGGTCGTCGCACATCTCACATGTTCCCCCCATCTCGTAATCACTCTGCGTGTCGTGCACCCGATGTAGTACCTTCTACACCACGGACTGACAATGACATACACACCCGCATCGTTCGTCGTGATTCGCTCCTTGGCCATTCATCACCTCCACCCACTTCTTCGCCCACGGGCATTCTCCCTGCAGCACACACAGCATGAAACGTCTAATCACATTATCTTCAATTGGCACCTCCCACCGCTGATGTTCGATCTCAAATCTTTGCGCTCTGTTCCTCATAGCCAGACGGAGGTCCTCCATCTTTCCGTGCTCCAGCCTTACCTGTTTCTTATAGGCGATATCGCGTCTCCATCATATGCCAGCTTGGTACGGCTTCGGACAAGCTCATGAATGACGCTATCTCTCTTTATCCATTCCACCCCTTCATCCTTGCATAACGTTCGTAGCTCCGGCACCTTTTTCTCGGATAGTTGGCGATGCATTTCGAGGGCATACTCCAACATTTCACCGCTCGTATCTTCGGCCAACAGCCTCCGCCTCACAGGGGGTGGTGTGTTCTCTTCATCAGATATATCATGCACTGTGGGAGCTCTCCTCCTTGCTCTAGATCCACGTGCTTCGACAACTTTCCGCTTCCCTTTCCTCCTCTCGATCGCTTCAATCAAACGATCTGCCTCGTTTCTCACCTCCTCGCTATCATCATCGGATTCATCTACGTAGCTCCGTATCTCTCTTAACATATTCGCTTTCGATTTCGGCGACTTCTTCCTTACTCCCTACGATGATGATGAACCGACGACTACCTTGCTTTGCTGAGTCAACATTCGAACGATCTTGGCTTCAAGCTTCGTTTCCCGTGCTTCGGCTTCTCGGAGTCTGTCGGCTTCCTTCCTGTCCTCTTCCTCTTTCCGTTTCTTCTCCTGGGCTTCCTTCTCCCTCATTTCTTCCTCTATCTTTTGTTTCTTAATCTTCTTTCTAAAATACTCCCGCATCTCATTCTTCTCCTCATCGTTTTGCACACATGTCTGTTGATCCTGGAGTACTCTCCCGTTTCCCACGGACCAGCAGTTCCGCGCGTAATGCCCTGTTTTCCCGCAGATGTGACACGTGACAACCCCTTGGACATTCGGATTCATCGGATACACTCTGTTCCCTTGCATCATAGGCTGTCCTTAAGACATTTGATACGCCATCCTTCCTCACCTTTGCGTTACGTACTTACGTCTCCTTCTCCTACGCCTATCCTTAACAATACACCCAATTGTGTACACCCGTCCTAGAAAAGTTGTTAAATACTCGTACAAATCTTTGATGGTTTGCTCGTTTCTATCATGCAATGTTACCCCAATAGCCGGAACCAGATCGTTCTGCACTAGTTTTTCTAACTCAAGCCATAACCTATCAATCTCTTCTTCCCTGAATTCCCTGTCCGTCATACCTACCTGATCTTCCTGAAGGAAATGTTTAATCTGAGATCAAAACCCCACTCGTGTCCTATACTGTGCTCACCACATAGTACGATGAACGAATATCCTCCAATCCCCGCAATCACAGCAATGCTCGACCCCCAAATGAGTCTCGACCATACTCTCCCACCTCATGACGTATGCATCCTTCCAACTCACTACGGACTTCAAGGTTATAGCATCACATCATGAAGATGACGGATCATGATCCGGACGAAGCGCGGCTGCTGGCTGGAGGTACTTGGAACATCTGTAGAGCCATCCACCATGCGATGTCGAAAATGTAGCCACCGACGCCGATACACAGATCTGCAGTTACCACGGTAATAGAGATTAAGAGGGAAAACTGAAGACTTCTCCTGAGGACACGTCCCAGCTCGTCACGCATCGACTGGTTAGTAAACACCAGGAAATTGATGGTGAAGAGACTTAGATACAACTATAAAATACAATACACTCGCATCTCTTCGTCACCATCATACGCGTTGCCTCGACGCGTTTCGCTGCCTGCGTACCGGGCATACTCACCAGGAGGCTTCCCGAAAATCAGCACACTCGTCTCATTAACACACTCGAGTGTAGATGATATCTTCATCCATGTTGATGTCTCTTTATAAACTCATAATCTCGGTCTCACCTCAGATCTTCATTTCCTTCCAGCTARCGTCTACACCTTGTAGTTTTCCTGTTCTCTTGCCTACTCAACCTTCCTACTCCTGGACGCGCTATCTCCTATACTTCCCTCATTTAGAACCCGATCTRCATAATGTACACTGCTTATGTTCGGATCAAGGACGYTTTTTACCCGGGAGTTCGACTACCTTCGCGTTTTTCTTACGGAYTGATYGTCATCTCYGGCRCCYRTCCTGCTCCCTAGCTTGTTCAAATTATCCTAATCTCTAGCTATATATCTCCCGCCATTCTCTAACYGGCTCTYGTGGCCATCTACGTTCCCTGTCTCGGCTCATGTCTCCCGTTGCGCCCCGACTMTATCTAGCTCACTGTCGTGTTCATATTCTCCCTTTGCTCAGCCAACGGCCCTGTCCCGCTCCCTTCCCTCCCGAATGCTAGYTGTTCCCTTCTGTGGATCAATCCATGTTTTTCACATCCTCGGAACTTCGCATTCTCCGCAGTTCATTCTGCACTCTGGTCTTACATCTAGATCTACTGACTATGACTCTAATATTGGATAGATAACCGACCCACATTCTATTCCTGGTATCTGTATCAAAACCGACTCCCGTCTCGGCAGAGTCTTATCCCGACGCTTACAGACATCCATACGGATCACCAAGTTCAAAAAAAAAAAAAAAAAAAAAGTTTTTCCCACCAAAAGTCTTTTTCTCTTCCGACAAAACCTGGGCTTGGACACTCCTCCACGAGGACGCCTTCCGCGCCCTCAAGAATGAGGTGACATGCGCACCTGTTCTTCACCTACCCGATTTTGACCGCCCTTTTATCCTTACCACCGATGCGTCAGACTTCGCTGTAGGAGCAGTGCTTTCTCAGGTCTTCCCCTCCTCTCTTGATTCCTCTCATCCTCGTATCCCTCGCTTCCCACCACCTACCCCTACCACTGCTTCCCGACTGACGCCTACTCGTGCAGCTACTGACGAGCCTTCTATTGACTATTCTCCTATCATCGCCGAGGACGGCACTGTCGAGTCTCGCTCAGGTGATTGTCCGATAGCCTTCTACTCTTGTCAGCTCCTGCCCGCCGAGATAAACTACACTGTTGATGAACGTGAGGTTCTCGCAGTAGTTTATGCTGCTCGGCACTGTGTCACTACCTGCACGGGGCACCATTCACGGTGCGCACGGACAACTCTGTTGTCCAGGCTTTTCAGGCAAAGTCGAAGCTCACTCCTCGACAGGCTCGCTGGTGGCGCGACCTATCCGAGTTTAGTTTCACCAATGAGCACATCAAGGGTGAGACTAATCGGGTCGCAGATGCCCTATCCCGGCGCCCTGACCACGACCAATAGCACATCCAGCTCTCTTCCATCTCGGTCACCACCGTCCACCACTCGGTGATCGACGAGTTTCGCATTCAGTACCGCCACTGCCCCGACTATCGCGACATCCACGCGACCCTTCGGAGTGGCAAGACCGCATCGAACTACTCTCTCGGGGACAACGGTCTTGTGTACTGGCACGGTTCACAGGGCACCAGAGAGCCCCGTATTTGTGTTCCCTACACTGGACAGCTACGTGTCCGAGCAGTAGCAGAGTTCCATGACCAGGCAGCCGCCGGTCATATGGGCTTCCACAAGACGTTGGCTCGTGTGAGCCGCCTGTACGTCTGGCCGAAGCGCAAGGACTTTGTGAAGGACTACGTCGCAGAGTGTCCCACCTGTCAGGAGKTRAACAGTGCGAACCACCTGCCTTATGGTTTGCTCCAACCTCTTCCTATCCCTGAGGGTCATTGGCAGTCCATCTCAATAGACTTTATTAGTCCTCTTCGTCCTCCGCCATCTCGCGGTCATGACGCTATCCTTGTCGTCGTCGATCGCTTCACGAAGCGTGCACGCTTTGTTCCATGCCGCTATGCCATCAGTGCACGTGAGGTCACTGACATCGTGTTTGACCGAGTCGTGCGTGATCACGGCTTACCTCTAAGCATCATATCTGACCGTGACCCGCGCTTTACCAACCGATTCTGGCAACGACTCCACGAGGTATACGACACTCAGCTCCGCTTCTCCTCGTCTTACCATCCTCAGACTGATGGTCAGACCGAGATCACGAACAAGACTCTCGGAGATATTCTTCGAAAGATTGTTCGTGACGACCAGAAGTGGGATCTTCATTTTGCCCACGCGGAGATAGCCTACGACCATGCCGTCTCGCCAGCCACGGGGATGTCGCCCTCGTGTTCCTGCGGACTTTCTTCGACCATCACAGATGCACCCCGACACGAGCTGTCCCGCGCTGGATGATTGGGTTGCACACATGACGTCGATCATGAAGACCGCACATGAGCACATAGCCGCTTCCCAGACTCGCATGGCAGCACGTGCAAACCGATCGAGGATGGATTATGCATTCAAAGTCGGTGATGATGTGCTTATCGACGCCCGCCACTTACAGCTCGAACCGGACACGCTTCGCCAGTTTCGGCGTCGCTTCTTTGGCCCATGCCGCATCCTCCAGGCCGTCGGTTCTGATACGGCTTTTAGCCCGGTCAGCTTTCGTGTGAAGCTGCCCGACTACCTACGCCAGGCTCGTGTGCATGATGTCTACCACGTCTCGTTACTGCATCCTTACCGCAGACCGTCTGAGCGTTTCGCTGGACGACCATACGAGTGCCCTCCACCCCTCATGGTGGACGGCCATGAGGAGTTCCTAGTTTCAGACATCATTGGTCGCCGAGTCACCGACGACAACCCTCCCCACATGGAGTATCTCGTACGTTGGAAGGGTTACCCTGATAAGGAGGCTACCTGGGAGCCCCTCGAGCACTTGCAGCACGCTCGCATATTGGTGCGTGCCTATGACCGTGCTCGTCGTGCTGGGTTCACTGCTCCTTCTCAACCCACTGACCCTCCTCCTTCTCCCCCGGCTGAGGAGACCGCTGAAGTCGAGCCTGCTCCATCTGAGGCAAACCTTCAGCAGCAGCCGGATGCTTCTGAGCGTCCACAGCGCACTCGTCGTCGTCCTGCTCGATACGACGATTGACTCTGACTTACCTTCCCACGTCTTTGACTTCTCAGTACTCCATCCACATCAGTTTTGCTACTTCAGCTCGTCGACGCTGCGGCTCTTCCTCGACGGGATTCCAGACTTCTCATCGTGGACGTCATCGGCAGCTTCATGGACGTCATCACGATTAGCTCTGCCTACTTCAGACGTCGCCACTCTCTTACCACTCTACCTTGTACAGTACCCTGCTTGTGTCACATGATGGTCTCCCTTTAGCCGGGTTCCTCTGAGTCGGGCTCTCCCTTGGTATACGCATAGGCATCGGGACCATAGCGTTGCCCTGGCTTCCCATCTTACGGATCTAGCTCCGATTTCCCTCCCTTTAGGAGTCATTTGCATGATTCCCTTACCCATCATCTTTCTACCCTTCGCCGACCCTCACGCCCTAGTTAGGCAGCCCCGCATGCTTCATCTAGGTGCGCCCAGTATACCAGGCTCCCCTGTTCCTTTGCATGGTCGACCCTCCATAGCGGCCACCCCTTAGTCGAGCATTACCCGCCCTGATGGTCTATCTGTTAGGGTCATTGGTTCTGTTCGCTCCCAGTTCCCTACCCTCATTGAGCTTGATGACATGTGTCTCCCTGTTATCTATGTGTGGATGCCCTTAGTAGTTTTTGACCCCTAGGCTGCATTCGCCACCCTCAGAGACCATCCCACCCTTTGGTTTGCGACACACTTCTCATGTGACATATGATAGACTTGTTGTTGCTTTGTTGCTCTCAGACTGAGGCTACTGCCTCTGACATTTCTTGGATTTAGTTGTTCTGCTTTTGCTGTTCTTAGGACTTATACACTAGTCATTTGTTACCAGACTGAGGCTAGTGCCTCCAACATTCTAGGATCTAGTTATCACTACTTTCTGCTTTCCTAGGACATGTATGCTAGTTAGTTGCTTTTGCTTTCCTAGGACATGTATGTTAGTTAGTTGCTTCTGCTTTCACTTAGGCTGTTAGATGTGACATTGCTGTTTTGTGACATTTTATATCCTAGGTTGCATCGCATGGACTCAGCATGGAGCTTGCTC